AAATCTGGGTCCAGAAGGCCCCCAGGAGTTTATCTGCTACTTTCCAGTGTCTGGCATGATCTAGGGTTCTTGGTGAATGGGGTGGAGATGCCAGGGTAATATAGGAGCACTTGGATCTTAAGATATAGGCTATTTGCCCATAAGTACAGCATTTTAGAAGCTGGTATAGATGCAGAGGAGATCCAGGCTGAATCTCAGTCCAGAGTGAAAGGAGGCAGAGTCAAGAAATGAAAAGCTAGACAGAGCAGGGGGAAAGACTGGAGGTATGATTCTTACTAAGTTAGGCTTCCATGACTTCATGTGAAAGATGAAGATCACAGAAGCACCCAGTTCAAAGGGATAGAATGGGATGGATGTAAAGTGCTTGCCACAAGAAAAAGAAGTTAGTTAAATGATGGCTACTTTGTTTTGGTTTAGTGTATGTACATGTTGGTTTGGTTTCATTTTTTGAGGTAAGAGCCCACAATATAGCTCAAGATGACTTTGAACTTATGATTCTCCAGCCTCCCAAGAAGTTGAGATTCTAAGCACTTACCACCAGGCCAGTGGTATTATTATTATTATTTCTATTCTTATTACCAGAACTGGGCAAAAGAACCTGGGATCAAGCTATTTTTTCCATAATCTGAATGGCCTTGGATAAGTCAGCAATCAAAATTTTATCCAAAGTTTTAGAGTTTATAAGAATTTTCTGAAGAGCAATCTAGGTTTCTATAAGATTCTCAAATGAATTAAAAAGCAAATGAAATGTTTTACTAAAGTTTCTGGAACCAAATTGTTTCATCCTACGTTAGGAAATTATCACTATGCTAGGGCCCTTCATCTCAAATATCACTTCTCTTCCTGTGGCTGTGATGAAACACCATGGCAGCTGAAGGCATACATTTCTGCTCACAGTTCAAGGGTACAGGTCATGGTGGTAAGGAAGTCAGCTGGCAGGAATTTGAAGCAGCTGGTCAGGAAGCAGAGAGTAATGACTGTTTGTGCTCACCTCGCTTTCTCCTTTTCTATACAGTCCCTGGAATGGTCCCACCCACAGCCACGGCCACAGGTCTTCTCACCTCAGCCACCCTAATGGAAATAATCCCCATGGCCATGTCCGAGGTAACAATGTAACAGCAATAAAATCACAACACCTGTTCTTTTCAAGTCTTAAGATTTTTATTCCCAATGCTTAAACACACAATTGCAAACAATAGCCAAAATACCAGTGAATAAAATATTAAAATATAAAAATGAGTAATAAAATTCATTTTCTTCCATTTAAAAACCTTTAACATGAAAAATACAGGTCCTCCACATCAAAAAATCCATGGTATTCTGGTACCTACAGTAGAAACAAGTAGGCTCTTGGAAGCCATTAAACAAAATACAACATTATTTGCTTTAAAAAAAAAAAAAAACAAAAAAGTGAAGTGCAATTCAAAAAAAAAGAGAAAATGTCCACCAAAAATTAATTAATTTTGAGGTATACTTATGTAAATTCCTGAAGGAGAAAAATGAAGAGAAATGGATACAAAGCATCAACTCTTACTTAAAATCTCTTAACATAAAAAGTCTAGAACAATTGTCATGCAATAATTAAAAGCACACACATGTAACCAAAAACTACTTGCAGAGCTGGACCTGCTGGCACACATGTATACTCCCAGCAACTCAGGGGCTCAAACAGGAGGATTGCAAGTTCAAGGTCAGCCTGGGCAAATTAGTAAGACCTTATCTCAAAATATTTCTTAAAAGAGAGCTAGGCTCCGGTAGATGATCCTACACTGGAGCATTTGCAGACACAAATTAGACTCAATAAGCCTTTATATATATATATATATATATATATATATTTCATGAAATCCAGAAGCGGGTAGTAAGGGGGGTGTAAACAGGGGAGGGCGTGTGAATATGATAAAAATATATTGTATGAAATCCTTAACAATTCAATTAAAAATTTTAAAGGGAGAGAGCTGGGGATATAGCGTACTGGTACTGCTCTTGCCTAGCCCCGGGACCACACACCTAAAAATTTTTTAAGAAAAATCCTTGCATCTGGTTGGTGACTTGTTCCTCCTAAACAGCAGTGGTATCTACAAAGTCTGCCTCCTAGCTGTGTGAAATTTGAATTCTGTGTGCAATAATCTGAAACCCATACTTTCAACCAAAGAGAAATCTTTATCTTCATCTACAGTTTGTGAAAACAAATTGAGACAGAACTAACTTCCAGTCCACCTGGAAGAGAAAGACATCTTTGCCTACTGCTCTGGCATCTGTGTGCATGTTTATTAATCCCAGGACACTTCCTAACCTCACACCAACCACTCATCAATTTTCATCAGCTACTGCGACTGGTCCACACAGTGCACCTCAGCAGGCTGGCAGCAAAACCTGTGAAAGCGGGTTTCAGAGGAGAAAAATGCATTGCGCTTCTCAAGTCCCGGTCTATGCTTCAAAAAATATGCTCCATTCAGTATGGTGAATTTCCCTGGAGTATGTGCCTGCATTTGCAATGGGCATTGTTAAAAATAAAAGTTGAGTATTAAACCAGGGCCTAGGCTATTGCAATCTTTACAATACAGAGAAAAATAGCCACAGGCAGCATTTCTACGTATTGAAATGCCTGTGGCCAGATGTTGCTGGGGTTTATGAAAATGTGATCTGATAGGGGAAGGTTGTGCTATAAATCATGCTCTTAGTCACATGCACCTGAAATCATTCCCACAATGGTCAAAAAGGGGAATTTAATATTGGGAAGTACTTACAGTGCCACTAATTGAGTAACAGAGTGAGTGGGGGAAAATATCTTCCAATCAGGGTCAGCATGCTTCAGGCAGCAAGAGGATGACATGATTTTTAGCTGTTTATTAGTGTAGAGATATCTGTAAATATTGAGCAGGTTGAAGGGACTGGGTGGCTTGGAAGCCCATTAGTTTCCAAAACACAAAAGGAAGATTTTTAAGTACTATTAAAATATGTTTTTGACAACTAAATTATGTATGTCTTTGATATTCTCCATACAAAAATCAAGGAAAAACTGCTACATCTTTTAATGGAAAACACTGAGTTCAATCCCTGCACACTCGCCAAATGCATGCCATTTAGGATAATGTCACTGATGCACATTTGACAACTAAATTACAAAGCTCTTTGATATACTGTGTACAAAGAGTGGCAATTATGGCCAATAAAATCAAAGGAAGAAAAAAACTAATTAACACTAACATATCATTATGACTCACTAGCATATAAAATCCCATGCCTGCTCTTAAATTGCTAGCGCCTGGCAAATCCCAAATTCCTAAGGATGCAAACAATAGTTTCCAAATAACTGAAACCACTAGAGCTTTCTTGGATTCCTTAAAGGTCTGGCACTACTTTATTCTATCGAAAGGCCAAGTACACCCAAAATGACTTTAAAACTCACCCTAAAAGATATAAATCTCAGGGTTAAAAACTGTAGTGATTAGTTGTGGATGCTCATTCAATTCTGATGATTACTTCATAAGCAATATAAACATAATTTAAAGAAGATAAAAATAAAAGACAAGCCGGGCATGGTGGTGCATGCCTTTAATCCCAGCACTTGGGGAGCAGAGGCAGGCGGATCTCTGTGAGTTCAAAGCCAGGCTGATCTACCTAGTGAGTTCCAGGACAGCCGAGGCTACAGTGTCTCAAAAAGACCAGAGAGAGGGGGGGGGGCTTGGGTTCAAGTTCAAAATCAGGTACTCATTATCCCTGAAACTTAAGGAAAATTACTTAACTCTCCATTCAACACTTACCTCACAGGGTGTGGTGAGGCAAAATAAGTATGAGAAAAATCCAAAAACAGCAAAGCAATAACGTACACACGTTAAGTCCTCTCTTCTATTATGACCAGTCTCCATCAAAACTTAACAAATAGAAAAAGCACAACGCTACCCTGCCACTAAAATCTGAACATAATGATTTTAAACTGATCATAATGGAAAGAATAACGCACCATAGAGGGGAGGAGTATATGAAACCTGAACTTTGGGAAACTGACCCATGTCTCATATAGAGACGATCTGACTGACATTTTCAGCAAGGCATTAAATTTGTTTTTAGACAGTGAGAAAATGTAGCTTTTTTAAAAAGTCTGTGACCTTGAGATTGTATGGGGAAGCATTGAGACTATAAATGTCTTAGAATTAAAAAGTAGAAATAAACAACCAGACTTAGCTACCGAGAGCTACACGAACATGAATTTATCAAATTTAATCGCAAGCTCTAGCTAACAGGTGCATTCTCTAACTTCATTACTGAAAAATTCATGACAGCAGATGACCTCCTAGAAACTGAAGGTGACGACAGAGATGCCATGTAAACCTAGAAAAGGCCGATTTTGTGAATCTTTTCTTGATATAATTTATTTCTGCATAAATGTACCAAATGAGAAGATGCTCTGGGAGCATTTGCTAAAGGTCATCATGTCCTACAAATGTACAATATTGTTAGAGAAATCTACAAAGCTCCTTTGAATCTTGTAGAATAATTCAAGATACATGAAATTTCTAAAATAATCCTACAAATAGAAAATAGAAAAAAAGCCCACATCATATCTCAATACAAAATGTAATAAACTAAGGTTGAAAAAAGACAAGCCCACAATAAATTCCTTTCCTGGACTGGCTGGCAACCAGTCCCTTTGACAACCCTGGCTGTGATTTTCATGACACACAGTGGCATGCACACACACACATCTTTGTTCATCTCTTGTCCCCTGCAGTTACTGATGTTCTGAGTTATTGAGCTTTCAAATAACTGATTTCTCCTGTTGCTTTTCCCGACTCACTAAACGACTCAGGCAATCACCTCATGGGTTATCCACCCCTGACCAGGTGATAGCACCTCTGGCCTCTCACTGCAACCTGCCACCTCTTAGGTGGTGAGACTGCCCCCACACATAGTGATGTGAAGGGTACTAGAAGACCTCAGTGCAACCCAAAGGAAAAGCACATTTGCAAAAACCAACTCACATGTGGTAATGCTGTTTAAAACTCCATTGAATCTTGAATTTCCAGAGAGTCCTCAATGCCTAACGGGTCCCCTAAGGTTGCCTTTGAGTTCACGGTAAACCCAGAGTTTTTTAATGCATTATGAGCATTCATAAACTTCTGGAGGTATTTGGAGGTGTACAGCCAGTGGTGTTTCAGGACATCTTCCATCTCATAGCACTTGGATTGCCTGGCATTCATTTTCCTGAAGCGCCTGAACAGTTTGTTGCCTGATTCATTTCCCTCACTCGCCCAGGCCCCAATAGAGCCATCTCTCTCAATAATTTCAGGGACATGTGCCAGAGTTTTGTGAAAATAATTAGTGATTTTTCCCTCATATCTGTATTTGAACTTGGTAGAGAGGAGCTCAGCAAAACGCTGTGAGTTGAAACTGTACTGGCACAGGGACTCTGGGCACTCTTTAGCAGGGCACGAGGAGCGCCACACTGGTTTCATCTTCAGGTAAAGGTCCATCAGCTCCCTGAGAGCTTCATGTCGCTCCTCAGAAGGAATCAGCTCACAAACTGCCTCAACAGTCTCTTTGGTCATTAGCTTCCGGGCAAAGTTCCCGTTCATCCTCATGATTGGTTTTAGGTTCATCTTCTTCCGGAGATGTTTGTCCAATGTGGCCTGCCATCTTTTCCTTTCCTCTTTGGAGGCGTCGGGATTTTTATACACCTCCCCTATCTCCAGCTGGAAAATCTTGTAGAACTCAGCCGCATTGCCAATGTCACAGTGGAGAGCATCTATGGAAGGGACCGTCTCGATGAAAGGTTTGGCCGAGACCCCTTTCACCCGATCCCGGAGTTCTTCCACTGACTCATGGTAGGGGTTGGACCGCCAGACCTCATACCGCTCCAGGTTCTCGGCGTGGCTTCTGGTTATGGAGTGAAAGACGAGATTTTGAGAGGCTTCCAGACGGGTGGCATCACAAAGTGTACAAATGTACACTGAGCCAGAAGCTTCCAGGCCTTCTACTTCCCGGACAAGTTTTTCGTCATATCCAGTGCCCCTGAAGATAAACTTGAAAGTCCTGAGGATGCCTCCCATCTCCAGCATTAATTCACTGCCCTTCATGGCCTCCCTCTCCGCAATGAGAGGGCTCAGGATGGCAGTCAGGGTCTCATGATCAGACTCATCTGCTAACATAAGGCACAGTGGCTTGCAACACAGCTCAGAGTTGGGCTTGGCTTCCTCAAACACCTTCACATTCTGTGAGTCATGCACTATGGTAATTTTCATGACTGTGAATGAGAAACGAACTGCCTTTTCTGGAACTGCTGGTCCACTCCCATGTTTCTCACTTACATCTCCCATGCCATCACATGACTCCTTCACCACAACCGTGAAAGGGCCATTCAGGTAGTCATCAAGATCTTGAGATCTCATGCCTTCCAAGATGTCTTCTTCCATGTCCATCAAAGCAGACACCAAGGCCGAGTCGTAACGGAACCTCTTTGCAATGGTGTCCACTGGGTAATCATCCACAGAGGAGCTAAGTCCAGACAGCCCATCAATAATGCCAACGTTTGTGCTGGAAGACACATTCTTCAGAGGAGGCTGCCACTCAAAGGGGTGGTAGCCTGGCAGAAGGACCTTCTCAGCATTCCGAAGAGCATGCAGAGGTTGAAAAATCTGCCTCCCAGTGATGGCTTTCACAGTCCTGTACATCTTGTGGTACTGGCTGCAGCTGAGGAAGGTGTTGACTCGGATGGCCAAGCAAACTGCTGGCTGCAGACCAGAGCCCCGTCCCTGCATGATAGCTTCTAGCTCATCTGCTTGTCTGTGCTCATTCCTCGCCCTCAGTGCCAACAGGAATAAAGTCAAGCACACAGATTTCACATCTCCACCTTCTTCTTTGTCAGCGAATGCCTTGACTTGCATCTTAAGCTCCCTAAGCCGATGCTTCTGAGCTCTCCGTGTCAGTGACAAGAGATGTTGACGAGGGCGGCCCCCTTTATTAATATGAACCAAAGTCTCTTTAGATTCTTTGTGACTTGAGACATGGTGATTATATTTTTCTAGACTGACCTCTTCATTGCATTCTTGTGCTGGACACTTCACCATCAGGGAATTCAAAATGCTCAGAAAGGATTTCGCTGGACTCTCCAGGTCAGTAGGGAAGCATGGATATTGGCAAGAGGGACAATAGCTACCCATGACCTTGAGGCATCGGAGGATGCAAATCCTACAAAACACATGCTTACAGCTGGTCTCTACAGGGTCGGCCAGAATGTGTTCACAAATCTGGCAAGATATTGATTTCACAAAGTACGCTGGGAAGTCCACTGCAAGAAGTTTGGTACTGAGGTGAATTTTATTGCAGTTGGAGATCTTCTTCAGGACTTCTTTTTTGCTGACCCTTGCCTGCGCTCTCTTGCGCTGACGGTCCCGACTCACTTGGTTGAGCACAGTTTTGAGTTTCTTGCTGAGCTGCACATTTGACTGATGTCTCTTCCTCTTGAGTCCCCGGTGGGCAGAGTGGCAGATGTCACAGGATAGTGAGTGGGGCTGCCACTCCATGGTCACATTCCTTGGGAAGTAAACCTCACAGGGGGCGCTGCTGAACTTCCTGTGCATGATGCTCCAGCAGTTATGGCAGAACTCAGTGGGGTGGATCGAGTCAACATCTGCCTTCACATCAATCCGGAAAACTCTGGCAATGAGGTCTGGCCAGGAAGTGACTCTCTTTTCCTTCTTCCGTAAAAGGCTTTGGGTTTTAGCATCCACAGGCCCATGGACTGGGTATCTCCTTTTGTGTCCATCACTCTTAAAAGAATTTCCACAGATACGGCAGAAGTGTCTAAGCTTGGCTTGGTGAACTGCTTTGTCTCTTGCTTTTCCATCATCACAGAATTTCTTTGAAAACTTAGGGTGGACCTTCAATGCTGGTTGATTCAGGACTGAATTCTGATCACCAGGCCTATCAAGAACTGCTGGAGATTGTTCTAGAAAAGGTTTGCCCTCTGAGCAATCCTTCTTCTCCTTTTGAGCTTCTTCAGGGGCCTTTTCAATGGATCTTACCCGGAATAGCTTAAACTTCCACTCAGAAAACTTGATGTGTGGGTGCTGAATTTCATCTGGGGCAGAACTGGGTCTCGGGATCGGTGACAAAGAGACATCCATGCTGGCTGAGGTACCTGGGAACAGTGAGGACAAATCAATTTAGGGAAATTGTCAATATCCTACTGCTCTATCTTGGAAGTAATTAAAATTAATGCATTCAAGTATTAATTCATTAATTCTTTCCAGAAATTATGTATTAAATCTCCTATTTTTTTTGGTCTTTTTCAAATAGGGTCTCCCTGTAGCCCCAGCTGGCCTGGAACATGCTATGTAGACCAGATTGACCTTGATTTCACAAGAGATCCACCTGTCTCTGCCTCCTGAGTGCTGGGATTAAAGGCATGTGCTACCAGTCCTGGCATTTCTCCTATTTCAATGTGCTTCATCAGGTGCTAATCATTTAGCCAAGAATAGACTGTTCTTTTCCTGATAGTATTTAGGGTTACTTATATCATATATATGCATAATTTACTATGCATGTGTAAATTTTAATCCCCTGTCCAGAAAAACCTTAAGTTCTTTGAAGACGGTCATTGAATGATTGATCTCATCTGTCTAATGTTCCTAGAAACCAGTAGGTACTAGATAGTTGTTTGTAAGTAAATGCAAAGATAAACTGGCTACTAAACCAAAGAAAAGTAATATTTTTCACATTGTATTAGCCTCATTACACTAACTGGACAATATATTTCTAGCATTTTAAAGCATTCTTCCAGGTGATTGGTTGTTTATTTCTTCCAAATGGGTCATAAAGGAATGATAAAGCTACAAACCCAAAGAAACTAATTACTCACTGCTTGAAAGGATGAAGTGAATTTTGAGCTTTATGGATGCAAACTAATAATAAGAATCATGGATAGTAATTATGCCTACAATTTTAATTAGTGAATGCTGCTGTAAATTATAAGACTGTGTCTACATTAGAAACAAAACCACAGAGTTCTTTTAACCTGCAGCAAACCATAGCATGAGCATGCTAAGATGCTGAAGGACTTCAAAGGTGAAAGCTTCAAGTAGTTTCAAATAAGTCATCCTGAAAGTCATTACCAGCCAAAAGTCATTAGTGCTACAGTTTATTATAAGAAGAGATATGAGGAATGTTTTTCTTCTGGTTAAAAAATTTGCAGACAAGTATGGAAATATATACCTATAATCCCAGCACTAGGAACTCAGAAGCAGAAAGATCACTGTGAGTTTGAGGCCAGCTTGATCTACCTAGAGAGTTCCTTGGCTATGGAAGGAGATCCTATCTCAAATACTAATGATAGTAATTATTATTTAATAACAAAATTAAATATGTTTGTTTTAAGATAAGCATCAGAATGTAGAAAAGTGGCAAACATCATCAACTGAGTAGTTTCTAGGCTCGATTAGGTCAATCATTCTAAAATCCTTTAGTGTACAATACCCTAGCCCATCCATGTTTCCCAAATTTGTCTGGATTAGCTCTTTTGATTTACAAATTATATCTAAAAACCTGTTTTTCTTTCAATTGATTAACTAAATCATTGAATTTTATAACCATGTAAAAATACCCCAAATGAAGACACTTTGACCAACGCAGAGGGAGTTGGGTATAGGGTAGAACTGATGGAGTCAAGAACTAGGTCCTAGCTCCTGCTAGCAAAGTTGCTTTTGAAGTCTTCCTTTTAAACTACTAAAGTTTATTCCATGTATATGTGTAACACATCAGAGACTTTTATTCATTAAAAATTAAAAGCAGATTTCTAAGACTTGATTGAAAGGGAAACACAGCTGGGCTGTTCACTACACAGGACTATGTGTAAACTAAATAACTCTTAAACACTTCAAAGATCTCAGTAACCTCAAAAGCATTTCAAGTGCAACCCAACAAATACCTCAAAGTTTCGTTTTTTTTTAAATTATGTTTCCTAACTCTCCTGTGGCAAGTGCTAAGCCAGCCCCTGTCTTCCTTGCCTCTGGCTTGTACTCCATACCAAATGCCTTTTTCATCACATTAAATATTGACCTTGTACATTAAGTAAATCAACCACAAAAAGAGGACTCCAGAACACTTCCCCTCCCTGAAGCTTCCTCCACTGACCCTTACTGGCTGAAGCATCATGAACCAAACCCTCCAAACACATTTATTTACATGCTCCCATGGATTAATGCAGTTATTAGCTACTGTCATTCAAATCAAATATATTTATTATATTGTTTTACAACTCATCTCCTAAAACTTTATCCAACTTTTAAAACAAGAAGGAAGTAGAAGCATCGTGGTGTTTTGGAGAAACATACAAAAATGCTAATGAGCATAACTGTGGAAGCCACGTGTTTTATGAGTTGGGGAGAAATATGTTTTAAAAATCTGGTTTAGTGAGTTGTTTTAATCTGTCCAATTAGCAAAGACTAAGACTACTAATATCACTCAGTAAAAGTTAAGATATATTTAAAAGTTGAGGTACATTTAAAAGTTAAGATATGCCAGGCTTGGTGGTGCACACCTTTAATGCCAGCACTTGGGAGGAAGAGGCAGGCGGATCTCTGTGAGTTCGAGGCCAGCCTGGTCTACATAGTGAGTTCCAGGACAGCTGGAGCTACAGGGAGACCCTGTCTCAAAAAGACGGAAAAAAAAAAAAAGTTAAGATATATTTAAGGGGTTAGAGGTGGCTCAGCGGTTAAGAGCACTGGCTGCTCTTGCAGAGGACCCAGGTTGAGTTCCCAGCACCCACATGGAGGCTAATAACTGTAACTCCAGTCCCAGGGCATCCAGTGCCCTTTTCTGACCTCCGTGGGTATTGCATGACATGGATGCACTTATATACAGGCAGACAATAATCATTCACAACAATTAAAATAATAAAATATTTTTAAAGACATTTAAAATTAAGATACATTGTCACTGGCACAATAAATTTCCTTTGGGAAAGACATTCTATAGTTATTCTCTAGAAATATTCCCACAAGTATATATAGACAAGGGGAGATATATAAAGACAAGGAGAGATTTATTTAAAAAGTTGTTTGTTACTTTGAAAAACAGAAAATAACAAATAATTACCAAAAGGGCATTACAAATAAACTATAGTCCAGACATAGAATAGAAATTACACAGAAAATTGGATTTTGTATATACATTATGTATATGTGTAATTTCTATATGCATATATGAACAAAAGATGTCCTCATTAAAAAAAACAGAAGATAGAATAATAGGATCCAGTTACACATATATATTCTTATTTATGTGCACAGAAAAGTGCAGAAATTTGGGAAGTCTGTGTATTAAAAATCAGTGTTTGATCACTAGAAAACGGAATTGGAACTGATTAAAGGGTCTTTTTAAATTTAAATTTGACATTGATTCATTTGAAATTTTCACAACACACATGTATCTTTTAAATTTTTTGTGATCAATTCAGTTTGAATAAAACTGTTTTAAAGACTAAATTCATTACGTACCCATGACGTCTTTTACATTATATCTTTTCAAAATTTCTCGAGAAAAGACCTGACTGTCTCAACTCTGACCATTTTTTTCACCCTTTTTTTCTGTTAAACATGCAGCAATGTTTAAGTCCAACCCATAGACAGCCTGAAGTTAGGGTTATAACAGGGTGATCTTGCATTCATGATTTATGCTCAGAAATATTGCAAGTGCTCATTCTCCTCTCTTTGTAACAAAACTCTGAGAGTTGACCCACCTCAGAGTCTAAAAGGCTGAGGGTTTGGTGCTGGCTCAACTGCCCAGTTGGCACTATTATCTCAGTATGGACAGCATCTGCCATCATATCTGTAGTGATCCCTCCCTCCACAAGGCATAAACTCATGTTAAAGAATCAGCCTGGAGTGATATGGAAGAGGCAAAGCTGTAGCTTGTAGTGAGTAACCATTAGTGACCTTGGGTGTCTGGGAAGCACAGAAGCAGCCCTGCTCATTTCCATCCCAGACCAGACGCTGCAACACATGGATTTCACTACTTGGCTCACCAGCTGCAACATCACCCACCTCTCTCTCCCTCCCTCCCTC